TAAACGTATATTGGAGTTTAAAAACTAGCAGTTTTTCTTAGCCTTGATAGACCCTGATTTATTGCAATTTAGGCAGCAAAGTGCATCAAATAGAGAAAAAGGTACGTAGCCCCGTTGTTGTTAAGAATCCAGAAAGAATTCGCTCTTTAGTGAATCGTATGCATTTTTAAGCATTCTAGTTCTGCCTTAATAACCATATTGTTCTACGCACTTTACGCACCTTACGATTTTGGCACTTCAATTTGGCTGCTAATTTTGTCGCTAGCAGAAAAAGAAGAGAACTTGCCAATTAAATTTAAATTGTGTGCTTTGTGTCTTTGATTAAAGTGTATTGATTAATATCAGTAAGCAAGCTAATGGCAGGTACAGGTACATCCACCTGTGTATTTTAATGTCCGTAGCAATCGGACAAAACAAAGTGACTATAGAGAAAGTTTAGGCTGTAGAAATCTTTCATGCTTTAGACAAAACGTGTGTCTGGGTGCGCGTAATGCCGAAAACCATTTACACGGGGATTGTGTTCGGTGTCGACTTAATTTCTAACAGCAACAGCAACACGGCAACATGGAAGTCGGAAACACCGATCAATTGTCAGATTGTTGCCTGCGAGCAGGAAGCAACTGGGTGCGCTTAAAACTTTTCCAACAGCCACTGGGAAGGAGGAAGCGAACCAGGACAGACCAGGCACCCAGCATATTGCGCAGGTGGAAAATTTATAATTTGCGAAATTGCCACTCCACCCACACACACGGCTCACGCACGTTGGGAGCATGTTAAATGGGCAGTCAGTTGGCCCCTCCCACCTCTTTCTGCCAGGAGCCGGCTCTGCTGCCTTAAATTATGTTAACCTCAAACGAGACGATCCGGCCTCCGACCCGGCACGACCCGTGTACAAGGTTCGATTTAAGGCCTCGTTTATTTTGCCATCCTTGCCTGGCTACCACTCACCAGTCGGGGAAGGGCGGACCGGTCGTCTGGTTGCATGTTGCAAAAGTTGTTGGCGTTGCACAACCGCATGCCACAACATGTAGCCCGACTGGACGACCTGCAGGCTGGGGTTACTCCCCGTGCCGGGAGTTCCGTCCGACATGCCCCACTTGGCAATTGCCAAAACTATTTGTTTACATATTTAGAGCTGGCCGAAGAAGAAAGCCGACAAGGCATGTTGTCAAGTCATGTTAACTGTGAAATATGCGCATTTAAATGAAGCGGCAGGGGTGGACAGGGTGGGGTGCGTCAGGGAATCATTTGTTAGCACCTGGAGCAGGCGGCGTGCATATATATGCATATATCGATTGCACAAGTACTACACCTTGGTGGCATATGCAACAGTGCATACAGGACAGTTGCCCCCCGGTTCCATCGGCCTTCATGCGTATAAGCAGCCAGAGTATCGGACTCCATCTTGAGTCCTGCCACCCCAGAAAACATCTGGCCATATCTTCGCGGAGCCACCCACACGAGTCAAGATCAAAGTTCATCTCTTCGGATGTAATTAAGCCATTTGCTGCACGTTTTGCCAATTCAAAAAATGTATATCCCTGGACCTCCCTGCTCGAGTCCCAGACATCTTCCTCTTATCGCTGCCAGCCGCCCAATGCAAATTCCTCGTTCAAATGCCCGAATAGGGGAGAAATATGAATAGCGCCACGCATTTTCATCCCCCTTCAGTGGGGGTGAGCGCCCGCTGGGCACAGAATTCGTAGAAAAATCACGCGCACTTATCTGGCATCGTAACCTTAACCAAACCAAGCCCCCGCAATTAACGCCCATTGGGCTGTCAGTGTGAAAAATGAGCGATGGGGGAAGTCCCCGGGGCCCGAGAAGGCAGTCTTGAGCAACTGCGAAATGATTTGCAAACGACGAGCCAACGCAATCGAATTCCGAGTGCCAAACGTTCCACTCCGCCAATAGCTACAAATTTTAATTGCTTCGCCGATATCTGGCTGAAGGCTAGAGAAGGAGGCAGGAGGCGTGGCAGGACAGCCCCCGAAAGAAGGCAGCGTCCTGGCAGTAAGTCGCATTGATAAGAGAGTCACGTTCTGCTCCTGGCGGAGTACGAGAATGTTGTTGCTGTCTTCATTATCATTGACAGGAGAGGACGGAAAGGAGTTGGGTCAGGAAACAATGGTTACTCTTTTATTGCCCGCGCCCGTGCCTGCGAGTCAAATTGATAAGATGCTGAAAATGACTTGGAAAACAATAAACGTGGGCATGAAAGGGGGCAGGCCTCTGTTCACTTGCCAGTGAAATCAATGCGTGAATGGAGAGGGAGGAGTTCTGAGGAAAAGGGCACACTCCTCGGTGCATAAACAGAACGATTGAGACATTTTAATGAGCGGCAGGAGGCGTTGGAGGATTCCTCGATAGGTTCGTTAGGTTAGGGAGAAGTGTAGCTTGCTGGAAGCTGAAACTTTTGTGTCGAAAACAATTTCAGGCACTCTCAGAATAGAAGAAAACTTTACCGAAGATATCTGGGTAAGCTCCTGAGCTGAAATATGAGCTGCATCGCTTTCCCCGTTTCCCTTTTACACTGTTACACTTCATGCTTCGAGACCACCGCTGGCTCCCCCATCATCGCTTTAAGGTGACCCATTTGCTTAGTCAGCCGAAGCAGGAGCGTCCCTCAGCAGGAATCCGCCAGCAGCACCTTGCTAATTTCACAGCCAAGTTAAGTAGCGAAGAACTTGACAGTCATTTAATAAAATTTCATTTCTACCCATCAGTTCAGCACCGAGAAAACCGTTCTGCGTCAAAGTCGGAGTCCGCTGCAACAAAATTTTATGAAATACTTGGAGAGCAAATTTTATGTGTGTTGGCGGCTATAAAATTTTAGCGCTAGCAAAAGTCTCCGAAGCGCTTCCAGCGGTTTGGCTTACCCCGGACTCCCGCTTGGCCTGTCCTGTCTCTCGGTCCCTGGGCTCGCCTTTGGCTAATAATACCAGGGCATTTACACCTTTATGGGGCGTACTTAGAAGCGTTTATTTATGCTAATGGCGGAGGTGAGCCGGCGGTGAGGGGAGGCGATGCCTGCCACTAATTCTACCCCGAAGCCCTGTAAAAGCTGCGGAGGCAAACAACAAGGGATAGTGAGCTTAAGATTTGAGCAGGTAAAGTTGGAGATTGTGCGAAATGCGTATATTTCATCATGGCGTTCCGAAACTTCTGGGCCCACCCTCACATCTTGACCCAACGCCCTGCCCTAGATCCTTCCCCTCGTCCGACGGCCAACGACTTTTGTGCTTCACATTCTTGTCTCGAATGTGTTTGTAATTTCCCTGGAGTGTGTTTGACTTTGACGACTTAAGTTGTAAAACTTTAACATTATCATTTTCACTACACGAGGCCCGGAGACGCGCACAGGACACACGCAGGACACCAGCGGATCCTTGGCACATGTGAGTGCTGCTGGCCGGGAGTCTGCTCCTTCAGATGTCTGTCCCGGGCCCAGACAGACATTTTGATGATGTTGACCTTCGCTACTTTTACTTTCGCCCCCGGCACCGCCATCAGTGCCGTTCGCCTTCTTTTAAAGTTTCCAGCGACCTTAGGATATTGTTGACATATCGCATTACAACAACTAGACGGACAAGGAGTCTGCGATAGAGCCCGACGAAGAGAGAGAGAGAGAGAGAGTTCAGGGAGCTTGCCACCTCATGTCTAACCTTGGCTCGAGTTACCAAGTCCCAAACCGATATTTTGGCTGGCTTTGCCTCACATGTGTCAATTAGTTCAATCAGAAGTCGAGCTCCCAGCGACCGCACAAAGCACCCCCGCCGAACCACCCCGATTTGGCTTGCAGAGCATCGAATGTCACTTTAAAGGTTTTCTCCAGCCCATTTGTCTCCCCAAAAATACAAAAAAAAAAAAGAAACATAAATTGGGTAAATCACGTCAGTAACAACCCTCCTTGATGCAGCTTTTCAGCAGAGCACGTAAGAATATATCAATTAGAAAGATGTGACGTGTTTGAGTCTTCGCATTTCAATCTGTACTATGACCTTATAAAAAAGTTTGATAACTTTTTAAATACATTTCGTATCATTAGTATTTAAAACTCTTTTAGCTTAACTTCTTGAAATGCCCCCTTACAAAAGTAAGAAAGAAAAACTTGTACAAACATTATTAGTATTCTTTTGCCAAACTAATCAGTATATACTTCATGCTCCATTCGAGAACCAAGATTTTTTTCTCACACATTCGAAAATCAATTTTCCCGGATGTGCTAGGCCATATAAATGTTAACCTGATATTTAGCTTATCGCGAACATTTTCAACGTGCGCCGTAAATTATAATCAAATTGGGAGAGCAGTCGAGCCTATTCATGCATTTCCCATAGCCAAAAACGTTATGCAACCGGAGTAACTACCCCCATTTTCCCGATTTCCTTCTGAAAGCCAAAAGGTAAACACATCAGCAGAGCACCCTTTGACACGCGTTGAAGGAGTCTCTGCCTCACAAAGACATAATCAGCTCGATTTCGTAAATCTCGACAAGCTGCTTATCTGATGAAATGTGAGCGGAGTTCCAAGGATCTGCATCCGTGATTAACATCTCCAGCCCGTGTTCCGGGGCAGGCATCCGGCCATGAGCTGCTCCGGCTGTCAGGCTGTCAGCCAAACGTGCTGTACCACTCTAAGTACAGTAAAGCCCGACGCGTGCTCCTGTCACTGCCCAGTCGTTGGGGGAGGTCGATCTGGGATCGCAGCCCTCGCGTCGGCATCGGAAATTGAAGTGTTTTTATTAATTCCAAAGTAGATTTTGCACTGTCTACTTGGCCTGGAGGATTGTTACGTTTCTGGTCAAGTTGTCAGTAGCTTTGTTTCCCTCATGCGGCCATAATTGAAATTCATCGATGGCAGATTTCGTTGCCAGGCTGATTGACAGCTGCGAGCGTGCAGAGATTGACGCTTATTGAATTGACTCATCCGGCGCGGCAACTGTTGCGCCGAGTCGTGTGGAAACTGCGGAAGGGATTGCCGGGATGTGGGTGGGGGCAGCTAAGTGTCAGTCGACATTGTAATCACTCAGGCCTGTCTAAAATTCAAAGTGCTCCATCGACCTACAAACGAAAAAATAAAAGAAGAAAACCCAGAGATGCCACCCAAGATCCAGCACCGGGACGTGGCTGGGTTCCTAAGCCGCGTTCGCGATTTCTTTCTGGGCCGAACTCACAACACAGCGCACCGCTTCGCAGACACTATCTCTCCACGCACCCAGCCGGCCCCCGATATACCCCGGGGTCCGTCGCAGAGTCTCTTCGCCAACTATTACTACATGAGGGATCCTCGGGGACAGCTGAAGCCGCTCGTCGACTTGATGCAGGAGCAAAAGCCAGAGCCGGTCAAGGAGAAGGCAACTGAGGCGGCCAATGATGCCGAGCTGGACTCCGATCAAGAGGATCAGGGAAAAAGCAATGACAAAGCTAAGAAGCTTCCCACACCCGGAAGGGTTCACTCCTGGGAAGGACCAGACTGACCTCTCTAATTTCCTAGTTATGTATTGGCATTCCGTCGAAATGAATTAAAGTATTTGTTTGCAAATCCGATTCGGACATAATTACGTCCTTAGGCAAAACAATTAAGAGGCTGCGCAGTGGAGTAAATGCAGGTGGTCGTAAAAATGTAAATCTAATTAGACGCCAGGGCGAAAATCATTTATGGCACCTGCATGAAAATTTAATTAAGCACACACAATTATCGGCATCAAGCTGCTGGGATAGCTGCGATTCGACGGCCAAAGGGTTCGTCACTGGCCACAACAATAAATTTGCGGGCTTAATAGCATTTAATGCCATCCAAATTTATATTTACAATTTAAACAGGCAATTTGCCTTGCGCTGAGTGGATTATGGGCCATTGTTAATGATGATTGCAGGTCGATTGTTAATTGTCTGGCACTGCAAAATTTATGCTGATGGCCCTGGCCCATCGATTTATTGATTGGAGTTTGACTTTGGCGCAACATTGTCCACCCTCCCCCGAAAGGACTGCCATCATTCAAACGCGGAGAAATGTAATCAAGTTTTGTGTGTTATGCAAAAAGAAATATTCTCCGTGCCGATGGGGGCGGTCCTCCCCGATTTATTGAAATTACCCTTATGAAGCGGAGACCCAGTTCGACAAGGAGGGTTGAGCAGCGAAACTGGAAAAGGGTGTCAATTGCCTGGAAACTTCAGAATGTCAAGTCAACATGTTGCCGGGCTCTTCATCCGCCAGCAGTTGGCGAAATATGAGATTCGACTCAATGCGAAACTGTAGCACATTTTTATGCGATTGTTATCCGCACTTATTTTCTCGAGTGTGTGTGGGCGTGGGGCCCTGCTTGGCTGGTTTTTATTACCTCATATGAATGGCAAAGTTCGGCACAATTTATGCATTACGTCGTTGCGACCACTGTGCCACTTTGGAGGCCAGCTTTCTGGCCAGGATGGGCAATCAGCAATGCTAATTCCCCAGCATTCCGTCTGGGCGCACTCAGAAAAATGTATCCTAAAAATCCGATGCCCACCGAGCACACACTTCCGCATCCTCTCAGCCCGCCCTCGAAGCCACATCCTCCCCAATGCCAACCATTGGGGGTAACCGAAAAATTGCCTCTCAGATGACGACAGCTGTGCGGCGAAGTCGCAGGATGTCAACGCTCCCGCCGCAAAATGCTTCCCAATCAGAGACGCGTAATTAAAATATGTACAAACAGACCGAAGGGAAAATTCCCATGTAAGAAAACACCGAGCGGAGCAAACTTTGTTTGCTTTGCGTGTTTTCCTATAAAACCGAGAGCAAAGCCAAAGCAACAAACAGCAGCAGCGACAGCGGGAATCACGGCCACGAAATAATAACAAGAAAAACATTTGCATAAAGAAACAAACAGTGAGTGGAGGGGAGTGGGTTCCGCGCCCACCTCGAGCTTCAAGCGGAAGTTAATGAGAGCTGGACTCTGAGATGGGAGCGTGACACGGGCTGCACGAGTTGGAACTGAACCTTTGATTATTTTTTAAGTATTGAGTCTTCTAAATATTTTGTGTCATTTTAAAAGTTTATTTTCGCAATTTAACTTACCTCTAATTAAACACTTTCTTATTCTATAGACTCTCCAAGTCCCGAAGCTTTCGATCGTGACACGGTTGCATCTCGGCCTAAGGCTGAGGGGCAATCTGAAAAGTGAAATGCTCTCATAGCAAAATCACTTCATTAATGCGACATTTGTAAGGGGAGCCTGACTGGGCCTTGGCCAGAACAGAACACAGCTATTCGCCATATGCAACGTGGGCCCCGAGGCAATACGGATGTTGTCTCCACGCCCGGCACCAAACTTTGCGAGGAACTTGCCGCCGTGGAGCAGGCCAGGGTGGGTGACAGTCGCGTAAAAGTTGATTATTTTTTAGCAGGCGTTGCGGGCTGGGAGAAGCGCGGAGTGAGATTGTCGCTAGTACAGTGAATAATGACTTTTGCCACCGTTCGCCAAGCGAGCTGCCTCCGGCCAAGTTAACGTGTTTTTTTATCTGTCGCCCGCCCGAAGTCGGGGGAAGGGCCTTAGCTTTTGGTTTTCCGGCTCCTGGCTCTCGGCTTCTGTGTCCTGGGCCGTGGCTCCCCCTCCACCTCGCATTCCCCCTGCGCTGTTGTCGCAAAGTTATGCAGGCTCATTAAGTTGTTGAACAGTTTAGAGAGAGAAAATTGTCAGCTTGCTTAATTTGCCCGAGTTCGGCTACGGGCCGAGGGCGGCAGGGCGGGGGACCGGAACTCGAGTATAAACAAAAGACTTTCTCGCTGCGGCCCGCCTTTGTCCTTGTCCTGGTCTGGGGGTAGTAGCTCACGGGAGTGTTTAATGAAATGAATTTTAAGAGAGAATTTATTATTTTGTCCTTAAATGAAATGGAAAGTGCCAGGCGCCCATTGACTCAAATAGAATGCGGATGTAATTAAGCCAGGATTTCCATGGGTCCAATACCTGATAAAAATGATATTTGGACCAAGTTGACTTTTAACCGCCAAGAATGCAGATATCAATAAACTGAAAATTTAATTAAGAAGTCTTATCGAAAATCTATTAAACTCCAGGGAAATGAGGTTGCATATGTGCAGATTGATAACCTGCAATCAGAATATATGGATTTCTAAATATTGCAAATGAATGCAGAGATGGTAAACAAACTCAATATGTTCAAATTAAGGTTTTGAGCCCTATTTTTTCCTTGAACTTATTTAATTTTGAAAATCATAAAATTACCAAAATGTACTACGTACATACATAGAAATACTACAGTAGAAAATCTCGGCTAAGACTCTGTAAAAAGCAAAATTGTAACATTAAATTTTAATTTAATGAAACACAATGTTATGGCGATAAACCACCACACCAAATAAAATAAAACACAATAGGGTATGTGTCCAAAATTGACAGTTTTCACAATATCGCGGAGCACAAAAACAACAATTAAGTTATGCCCATTCTAATGTAGTTTACGTTTTAATTATCTAGTAAATTATGATATCATTCGAAACAAAATGGAGTTTTTAACATCTCAAACAACCAACCGTATAAAATGTAAGAAATATTCTAGCAAGCTTTGTAGTATATTGTGTCAGGTTGTGGAATCAATTGCCAAGTCCCATAAAAATTATCAGACGCGCGCCACAATTTAAAATTCAGAATATAAAAATAACACGTCATAATATTTATAATATTATATATTTTAATTTAAATGCTAGCTTTTTACTTGGCTTCTTAGTTTAAGTGTAATATAAATCAATGTATTAATATAAGTCATTAATTTAAAATATAAATATGCCTGTGTCCGCTCACTTTCTTAAGTTCTTTTTTGATATACATAGTGTAACACTTTAAATATGTAAACTTTTAAAGATATATTCTTTCAAAATGAAGAAATTATCCAGCTTTTTTTAAAAAACAGCTGAAGGAGTTTCAATGCTTTGATTATTTCAGGCTTATAATACGGCTTCACATTTGTTCCAAGCTGCTTATTTTCTCCATCACTAATCCACCCCCGGATCTAGCATAAGTAATATTATCCTTCATTGGGATAACTTTGTGCGGAACTCTTACCCCGAAACGGTTGACCACATCAACTTTTTCTCTTCCGCTCTGACACAATTTCACCTTCAATTAAACTTGAGGTAATTGACAGCGATGCCGAGGAAAGAAATCCCCGATTGGTAACCACAAGTCGGGGGAAAGTAGTACAGGTCGTCCTCCCCTCTGCCGGTCGAAAGATAAATGGCGATGCCTTAAACTGATTGTGTGGATTAAATTGCCATATTGGCGAAATTGGTACAGACACAGTCTCTCTGCGAGCTCTCTCCGACAGAAGTCAGGCCAACAAGTATCGAAAACTTATTTTTGATAAGCGCAATTATAATTGGATTTGGGGGAAGTTGCTCCCGGAGCGAGCAGGTAATCGGAGTTGGGGCGCATAGGACGGGGACGGAGTCAGGGCAATGATTAATCTACCTCCCGAGTATTTAAAAGCCAAACCGAAGACGACAGTGGAGGAAGCAACCCGAAAAGAAAATTGGAAAATGCGTTGTTTGGCTGCGATAAAGACGTGTTCGAGTTGCCCCCGCCCAGCCCCACGGTGTTTTTCTTTTGTAAATGTTTGCTGTCAAGATAAGGACAACACAGCGTGTGGTTTGGTGCGATTCCCCGGCCCCTCGAGGCTTCTTGGGAAGTATCAGGGTGAAAAGGAGTTTGTCAGGAGTTTTGGTTGCTAAGCCAGGACCCGTCTTAACAGAGACAAATGAAGTTGTTAGCGGGTGGCCCCAGAGAGATGTTTTCCTTGCCGTCCGGTTTGTGGGGAACCGGGGGAGCAAAGGTCGCTGCATTTCCCCGTTGTCTTTGATGTGTTCTCGCTGTGCCAGTTGACTGGTCATTCGGCCATTAATTGAGTTTAATTATTGGGGCGTTAATGAGGGGGTTGACGTTGACCCGGCCCCCAGCCGAGTGCACCCCAGAGTAAGTGAAATGAGCCAGGCCCTTAAGAGAACCAGATTAATCGATTCCCAAACAGGCTTTGAAACATATATCCAAGACTTGATTAGTTGGTGAGCTATGTGAACTCTAAGGGAGGACTCTAGACCTCCGTGGAACGCATTGAAAAATGTCATTTAGCATGGAAACTAATTCAGATTTAAAATAAACATTTTGGTTCTTAGTTATAGTAATTTAATCAAACTAAATAATTGTATAATTCAGTATAATAAATACATAAATAATAAATATTTTGCAACAGATTTAATATTTTTTTTTTTGATAAGAAATAAAATGAAATTGTATACTTTTCTTTCTCTGTGATTTTCAACCTTCCACAGTCACCACCCGCCCGACCAGCCAACAATGTCAATAGCTCATTAAAGCCCTTCACATTACTCAAGGCAGGGGGAGTCCCCTGGACCACGCAACCCGAAATGATAGACATTTATTTACACCCATAATTAAACGCAGACAATGGCAACGAACAGTGTTTGGGGCCGGGCCATGCCTGCCCTGTCAAATATTTCAGGCCCGTGTTGGCAACAATTTACAA